AGTTCCTAGTGACATGCATTCCTGAATTCACTTGAGGCATCTAGACCATGCTGTATCAGAAATCACAATACACACGTGTGCACACAGTCAATTGGTAGAAAACAATAAGAGACTGGAAGAATGGCAACTAAAGACTATGACTTGTAACTTGGTCACAGAAGCATTTTCTGGCTACGCGGTGTTGCAGGGGAGGGTCCTAACAAATAAATAGTGACACGGGGCATAGTGGAGGGGATCTCAAGATGGGAGTGCACCCAAAATACAGAGGGGACGAGGGATGAACAAGATGGGCAGCGGTGGGGGGCACGGGGCTGGTGGCTGCAGTGGTGGGGGGACAAGATGCTGCCTCAAGTGAGCGCCCGCAATGATGATGGAGGCGTGGGAGGCGCAGGGCTGTTGTGGACTGGTCGCGGGAGCTGTGGCCCAGGCCGGTTCACACAGCAGCGCGACTGGCTGGGCTGTGTCGACGGGGGCCCTGCCAGCCCCTTCCCTGGCGCAGAAAGCATTTGAAAAGGGATAGTCTCGGGGGCTCCCGGTGCCGGGGAGCACAGCCCGAGGGATTCGGCTCTGGATAAAGCACGGCGGCCCACCCCACCCCGTCTCTCAAGTGCCCGCGGGCTTCCCTAGAGCGGCCTCTGGGCCTTCATGTACTCCACGATGTCGTTCTTCACCGTGGCCATGGTGGCGCGGTGGTACCACCGCATCACGGGCACCCCGTCCGGCCCCACCAGGAACTTCTCGAAGTTCCACTTGATGTCGTGGATCTTCAGGGGCTGCCAGAAAAGCTGCTTGGGGTCCCCGAAGTTTTCCACCACGGGAGGGCAGGAGTTCTGCAAGGGGAAGGAGGGACAGGCGTCACCACCGCGCCCCCGCTCTCGCCCGCTCAGACGTGAGAGGAGGGTGTGCGCGGACCTTGAGGAAGGTGTAGACCTTCTGTTCCCTCTCCCCGTTCACATCGCCCTTCTGGAAGAGCTGGAAATTGGGGACGAAGCCTCCGCCCGGGCGGACGTACCTGAAAAAGTGGAAGGGGAGAATTGGGCGGCGGGCCCCCTTCCACCCTCTTCCAACGCAGGTGGGAGCTGACCCCGTGCTTGGCAGCCCCCACCCCAGCCCGGGCTCTGGTACTCACTTCAGGGCAGGAAGGATCTCGGCGTTCTGCCCGGGCTCTTGTTTCCCAAACTGGTTGGAGGGGAAGCCCAGGACGACGAGTCCGTAGGGCCCCAGTTCGCTTTGTAGTGCATTCAGTTCTGCAAGCAGACCCCCCCGACCCCATCCCCACCGCAGGTTAGTCATGTCGTGGGACCTAGGGTGGGGCTGCAGCTTCATTGCCCTCTCCCAGCCTCTCCTGTGAGGCTTGCCGAGCCCTGGCCATCCCCATGGGCTTTATTTGGGCTCGACCCCTGCTTTGTGCATCCATTTCTTCCCATCCCCATTGCAGCAGTGGGAACTCACCCGGGGTTCCTCCACCTCCTGCCTGGCCCTCCCGTGAGGGGCACAAGCCCCCAGGACTCATGCTGGACACGGCCACTGTGCACCTGACCTCAGGGACACGTCCCCACCCTTGCCCTCTCGTCTGGAAACGGCCCGGGCCTGGGATGCTGCGCCACGCGGCGGGTGGGAGAGGGCCGGGGGCTCTTACCGACGTACTGCATGGTGAGCCCTCAGTACGTGGCCACGTTGACGAAGAGGATCATCTTCCCCGCGTACTTCTTGAAGGGGACATACTCTTCCCCATCGATGGTGAGGGCCCCGTAGTCGTAGACGGTGCCACCCACGTCGCTGTAGCAGTTCACCTGGAAGATGGCCGGGCGGGCCGCGTGGGCAGGTGCTCAGGGCTGGGGACACGCACCCCAGCGAGGTGCCCCCACCAAGGGGGTCTTCCTGCCTGGCCTCTCTCCAGCCCCGCGCAGCCACGGCTGGGCTCTCGGGTGGGGGGGACCTCGCTGCATGGGCATAGATCCTGCCATGCACCCCCCCACCAGTGCTCCCAGCTCCCCACCTGCCAGGCAGGAAACAGCCGGGTGAGTCAACGGAGACAAACCCGTTGCCTGATCCTGCTGGGCCAGGAGAGGGGCCTGGGCCGCAGCGAGCGAGCCTGCGTTGCCAGGCTGACGGCAGCCGCTCGTGATGGAGTGCCTGTCTCCTAGGAACAGGCTGTTACTAGGATCTCGTCGTCAGGGCCGAGGGTGCGATGCAGCCGGGAGCACAGAGGCATGCCGGGGCGGCTGGGTGAGTCGGTGCTACCCCTCCGGCCCCCCGTGCCAAGAGGGGTTGGGGCTGCTAGCAGAGCTGTAGCATCCAGCCTCTTGGGCAGGCGCGTGCCAGGGCTTGGCTGCATCTGCACCCGCTCGGAGGAGCCCCAGGCTCCCTGCACCCTGGGGTGGCCCTGGCAGGGATGTCTGCGTGGGGCGGGGAGCTGCTGCGAGACTCTGCGGGTCCAAAGCCAGAGCCCCAGGTGGTACAGGCTGCTCCCCGTCCCTTCAGCGAAGGGTCGCTCTGGACCCTAGCAATGACACCCAAACCCGCGTGCTGAGGGTGCGACTATGTGCCAGGGCACCTGCAGCATCCCTCCCAGCCCTCATTCCCTGGGACAGGCTGGCACAAAGGGGCAGCCAGATATCTGTGGCTTTTGCCCCCCAGCCGGTCATCTCCAGGGTGATGCTAGACCCGTGCGTCACACGAGCCCCCGTGCGGGCTCTATTTTGGGAGCCGCTATCAGGCAGGCACACGAGGCCATGCCAGGCTCTCCAGGGGAGCCGTGTTGCTGCCACGTCCGTCTTCCCTGCAATGCCGATGGTCCCGATGATGCCTCCCCCTGTGCGGCGCTGCTCCCCACAGGACAGGCAGACACCAACTGCTCAGGGCACTCCAGGGTCCTGCCTCTCTGGGCACCTTGCCCAGTACCTGCTGCCCTGCACGTCCCTGCCCAGAGCAGAGCGTGCCCATGGCTGCGAGTGCACCGTGCTGGCTCCATGCTGTACCCATCAGCAAGCCGCCCCCGCAACATGCCTCAGGGCCCCGTCTCCCAGCTCAGACGGTGATGTTGCCCCATCCTGCAGAGCCCCTCTGCGGCTGTCCGTGAGCCCGGGGTTTGGGGTGGCCAGGAGAGCACAGGGGGGAAGCCGGAGGCAGGAACGGGGTCCTGCCACTTCCTCACCCCACAAACCACATCCCTCCCCATGCACTTCAGCAGGTGGGGGCCACAGGACTGGCTCAGATAGATCCTAGGACCCCCCTGCAGTCTGGGGGTCCCGGTCCCATGCCACAACCCCGCTCCCTGCAGCCTCTCGCCCTTCATGCATGCCTGAGCTCGGGGGCACGGGCCCCCCCAAGGCATTGCAGACCCCCCCCCAGCAGGCAGCAGCACCCCAAGGCATGCTGCAACCCACTCTGCCCCTTACCTTGTCTTTCTCCTGCCCCCAATTCGGCTGAACCAGGCCAGCCAAAACCAAGGGGAAGATCCAGGAGGCGTGCAGCTGGCCCCCCATAGCTGCAGCAGGGCAGGGGTGCGCACCCCTCTCCCTGCCCCGAGGAGCTGGGCGGCTGGGATTATCCCTCGCTGTCCTTTCCGCCACCAGCTCTGCCACCTTTCAGCTCGACAGGGAGAAATAAAGGGCTGTGGCTGAACCATGCCAGCCAATCAGGGACAGGCAAAGACTCCCACAACCCGTTAACCATATGGGCCCTGGGCTCGGACGCCACTCCCGAGCCCAAGGGGCACGTGCATTGCAGGGGGGTGACAGGGAGGAGGATGCACCCAGCGAGGAGCAATAAGGGCAGGGCTTGGACCTGGCTCAAGGCTCCTGGCACGCCAGCGTGCAGCTGCCAAGGGCCGGAGGGCAAAGCCCTGGGGGGGAACAGGGCAGAGGACACAGAGTACGTGTCTGGACTTGATGCAACAGGAGATTAGGAGCTGCACAATAGGGAAAGTCATAGCTCTTATCCTGCGCCCCGGCACAGCCGCCCACAGCCTGGCTCTGAGTGCCCGGATGGGGCGGAGGGAGGTGCTGGGGGAGCCTCAGCCTGTGCTAGACATGGGCCAGCCCCAGCTCCCTGGTGCACGTGGCAGAGGGGTGGACAGGAGAGGCGAGGCGGAGGGGCAAGGAGCTGGGGGGCTTGCAAGGGGCGCTGTCAGCGGGCAGGGGGCACATGGACCAAGGGACAGGGGCTGGGGCAATGCTGGGTGCACGAAGGTGGCAGACGCTGTGTCGGGGAAACGGGCAGGGGTTGGGGCCATGCTCCAACGGGCTGCTGTGGTAAGTGGGGGTGTCTGGAGGGCTCTGGGCAATGCCCAGCTGCCTGCCAGGTCTCAGAGCCCCCCTCCGGCAGGGTCAGACAAAGCTCCCACATGGGCAGTGCCTGCTCTGTGCCCCCTCGGGGTCCAGCACAGACAGCCCTTGCTTGCTGCCCTGGCCCCACACACGCCACCCCAGGGGTTTCTGGTGTCCGGCTGCGGGACCGCAGCTGCAGATGCATCAACACCAGTTTAGACACGGCCCCCCCTCGCTCCCTGCTCAATAGAGATGAGCCCAGAGCGCCCAGGCGTGGCATGCAGTTGGCAGGTCCACAACCCGGGGGGGTCCTGGGGCTGAGATACCCCTCTGGGCTGGGCGTCAGCTGCAGCGAGGGGGTGTCAAGGAATGCTTTTGGTGGAGGGAGGTGAGGTGGGTCCACCTCTCAGCTGTTCCCTGTCTATGGCGACAAGCCATGTTATTGCTAGGACTAGACAGCGCGCCAGAGAGCCGGTCACGCCGGCGGTGACTCAGCCAGGACTCCTCTCTGCTCCCCGTGCATCTCCTTCCCTGACCTTGCACCGGCCCCTTAGGCGGGCATGCTGAGCCAGCTCAGGTCCTTGCCCCTTGCTGCACCGAGATGCACGCCGCCCCTCCCCGCTCTGTGGTGAGGAAAGAGTTAACCTAGCCAGGGGATGCTGCAAAGTCGGGGGCCAGCTGGAGCTGATTGCAGCTCCTATAAAGACTGGCCCAGCTGCTCTATGGGGAGGGCTGATTGGGGTGGTGAGGCCTTCTCCTGCCTGGGGAAGGGACTACTGGGTCCATCTGGGACCAGACAAGGCTCGGGCAGTCTTCTAAGTCTGGAAGGACTTGGTGCTGGAGCATGCTGTGAGAAGCGGGGGTAGCTGGCTTCATGTCAAAGGGGCTGCAAGCTTCTCCAGGGAGGCTGAGGCTCCTTGGAGCAGCTCTGCTCCCAGGCCAGGGCTGGGTTGGGCTGCTTTGGCTGCAGGGATATAAAATGAAATGCCATTCACCTGGCACATCAGTCATGACAGATGCGTTAAAGGGACCTGTGTGACAGACAAATGAGTCCTATTGCTCTATTTGTCCAGAGGCAAGGATTGCTCAGGGTGATGTCTTTTATCAGCTGCAGAGCCAGGTAGGACAAGCTTTTGAGTGCAAGGCTTTCCTCCTCCAGTCTGGTTCCCATGAGCCAGGCACAGACTGCAGCCTTGAGTCCCACCTATTTAAAATGATACAGCCTTAAGTCCCACCAGCAAATTTTTCATACGCACAGGTAACAAACTGTGTATTAACAGAGAAGAGATCTCTGTCTCCAGATGCTGCCAGCTTGGGGGGCAATGTTAGGAGGCTAAATCCAGAGCAAAAGGACTGGCAGAAGCCACAGGCACTGCAGAGAGTCCATGCAAAACTCCCAGGAGCTTTTCTGTTTTCTAGCAAATCGAGTCCTGCCCGTGGCAGGGTGAGCCTGGGAAGAGCAGAGCTGGGTGGCTAGGTGGAGAGGTTCAAATACCAGGGGTGGCCTGGATGGAGCAAGCGGTGCCTGCGCCCTTAGCCGCCGTGGCGGGCATGCAAGCAGGGGCTGGAAGGCGAAGGGGCTGCGGTTGGCAGGACGTGAGATGAAGGGGAGAGGAGAGGTTGGTGGCTGTACGGCTGGCCTGAGCAGCGAGGGCCAGAGGGCTCGGCTGCCTTGGGCGGGCTCCAGGTGGGTGGCTGTGCCCCAGGCTCTCCTAATGGCTGTCCCCAAGGCCCCGCGCAGACCCCGCCGTGAGAGGTCCCGGCTTCTCGCCAACAGCACAGAGGGTGCTGGCGGGTCCTGGGATGTCCTCAGACTTCCAGAGGGATCAAAATATTTACCTGGCATTGGCTTCCAGTTAAATATTACTGACACTGAGGCAAATGCTGTGCCCCGGAGGGGATCAGTGGAGAGCAGTGACCTGGCTGCAGGGCCCTTTGGGGGACTTCTTGCCCAGGTCAGGGGTTGCTCATTGGCGTAACATGAAGGTCTTGCAGGGCATGGGGATGGGGAGCAAACGGCAATGCTGAGCCTCAAATGCCAGGCCTGGGCTGTGAATTGCTAGAGCTCAGGCTAGCATGAGGGCTGGCCGCCTGGGGGACTGTGAGGACTATGCCCAAGGGGGCAGGTGTACATGGGGGAGTCTGGGGTCCCCCAGAAAGGGGACAAGGGGTGGTGGAGAGGAAGCTTTGGTCTGACCCTGCTCTGGGTGGAGTGGGTGAGAAAGCTCCCGCGAGCGAGGAGTGGGGTGGATGGTGGAAAGCATGGAAAGCTGCCCCCCCAAAGTGCTTGCTTTCATCTAATGGACCTCTCCAGGAGCCTGCAGGGACCAAGGCGAGCTCCCCCATGTCCATGCTGGCTCCCCCGGAAGAGACAGGAGCGCGTGTGAATGTGCTGTGCTGTGACAGGCTGAGCTCTTCCACCTTGCTCGGAAAAGACAATAGCCTCCTTCATTCAGGTCCCCAAGGCCAGCAAAGGCTGGGCCGGACGTGCTGGGGGAGAGGAGGGTTAGGGTTATGCAAGCTGGGTTCTCAGAGATAGCACAGGGATGTGTTATGTGAGATCCCAGCTACAGAAAGCCAAGTGCCAGCTGCTCCCGTTTCCACCTCTGATGGGGAGGTTACCACAACAGAGATACCTGAGACTCCCAGATGCAGATCCTGCTATATCAGCCTGTGATGGGTATCCTCGTGCTGGTACTTAAACAGGATAAAGGGGAGGACCTGGTAATTATAGGCCTGGCATCCATCCTGGGCAGAACAACAGAGCAGTTGAGCCGGGTTGGATCCCCGCACGGTACTGACTGATCTATCAGCGTGGGGCTACACGTGCGCAGAACCAGTTTGGGATGGAAACGCAGCTTCGGTTAATCGAGGCAGCGGTGTCAGTGTCTGGGGGCTGAGGCTTCTACAGGGCACTTGAATGCAGAACCGTGTACAAGCAAATGTGGTGCACGCTTAGAGCTGTACACAGTCATTGTGGTGCACACTTAGAGCTGTACACAGTCATTGTGGTGCACACTTAGAGCTGCACACAGTCACTGTGGTGCACGCTTAGGGCCGGCACTATCATCGTGGTGCACGCTTAGGCCGGCGTGCACATCCTCAAGACCTCCAACTGCTGTGGTCTGGGGGGCTGTGGGCAGGGTGGCGGGGTTTGCTGGGAAGGGGGCTCCTGCCCCTCTGCTGTACCATTGACCTGGGAGAAAATACAAGAATCCCCACTGCAAGGTTTCAGATGACCCAGAGCTGGGGGAGTGGGTGGTGAGGACAGGGCACTGATAACGGGTGCAGGTAAAATAAACACGCCTGCAGCGCAGCTGAAAGCAGTCAGACGGCCAGGGACAGAGACAACGGGCCCAGAGGCTTTGGAGACCTCTTGGGCCCCTGGACTTGAGTTTCTAGAGCAGTGCTGGGGCCAAAGGGCCCAATGTGATCGCCAGGGGCCACCCAGGAGGAGCGGGAACCCCATGTTCCCCATGCACCTGGCACCCACGTCTCAGCAGAGGTCTCGCTGAACGGGAGGGGAGTTAGAGCCGAAATGCGGCTTAAGCCAGGGCTGACGGTGAGGATATCTTAACTGCCTGAGTTCAAGGCCGGCTGGCTGGATGCCGTGCCAGCCCCGCCAGTGCCAGAGCTGTGCGGGCGTTCGCTGAGGGCAGTGCAGCTCGTTGGTTGGTATTGGCCGGTCCTTCCCCCCACCCCGTCCTGTTGATCAAGAGAGGCTCGAGGGTCAGAATCGAAGAAAACGAGGGCTGGACAGGACCTCAGGAGGTCAAACAGATC